ATGCTACTCTTGGAAGGTCCTGCAGCCCAGGCTAGCAGCAGGTGGGTGACTGCAGTCTTACACACAGTTAACTGAGGCACATTAACAATTTTTACTACATCACCCTGACGCTTCACTTACGAGAAAAGTCTCTTATTACTTCTCCCATCATCCTTTTAATCACTGAAGTTAATTATTTTATGTTGTTGGCTAGCTGTTAATAAATAAGTAATAAGTAGGTAAATAGAGACAAGCTATAAAAAAAAAACCGGCCCCCCAGGATATATAGTTGCACCCAGCCTCGTCATTATCAGATGACAGATGGCTTCAAGAGGCCTCTCTTTTTGCTCTACAAATGGAAAGTGTGGTGCTGGTAACAAAATGTTGCTCATCACCTACAGATATCTTCTTGTAGGGGCTCAGGTTGGTAAAGACTGAAAGAAGTTATTAGGGGACTGTAAAAATGGTCGAGTTACCAAAGTGACTACAGATGGTATTTTTAACAAATCAAAGAACGAGCTCTCCGGCTCAAATCTGAAAATTGTTCTTATGAAGCTACTTTTGGCAGAAAGTGGAATCACAACGTGCTTATGATGTCCCACGACAAGTGAAGTGTTGCTAATACAAAAAAAAACAACAACACAGAACACATTCCTGGTGCGATTAGTTGCAAATCAAAGAGTGTGGAGGGTTACCACCTGCTGCAGCATGCTGCTCAGCTTTACAAAAATAAAAAATTCACACTGCAGGCTTTGAACATCGCGTTTGCCCACTGTCTGATTAGCAAAATAATGAATTTAAAGAAGAAATAATCACATCTACAATAAAAAAGAAAACAGATTATCTCTGACACAAGGATGCAGGATTTCTCTTCTAATGAAATATTTATTAATTTTCTTTTTCTTTTTTATGTTTAGCAGTTCGAGCTAAATGATTGCATCAAGCTGCTTTGAAGCCACCGCGGCATTTGACTTGCAAATACCAGCAGGCGTTTTTGTAATTTAAGCCTGCAGCCGCAAACAAGACCATGATATAATCATTGTCTATTTCTGATGATGCACATAGACAAACACCACCGCAGAATTAAGCGACGGTGTGTGCTCCCAACCCCCCACCTTCCCCAACGTAATCAAGTTAAGTCAAAGAGTGGCGCAGCCAGGCCCACGCTAATAGCCAATCGGCCGCTGTCTTGAAAACTTCTCCAAGCCATGTGCCCTTGCTAAAGGAGACAAGACGGACATTCATCTCATCAGCACTGCAATTACTGGGATTAGAGGCATGCATGATTACAAACTATTGTGAAAAATAATTATATTTCATCAGGGTCGACTTCTTGCTTACCAATCCACGCTTGGTTGAGAGGACGGCGACGGGCAAGAGAAGACATTATCGCACCGGGACACAAAGCAGAGTTCACATTAGGTTGTGCAGTCAAATAAAGCCTGGTATGTAGTTGTGTGGCATGCCTATAATAAGCCTAAAACACGTCATAAAGTCAGTGGGAACAGCTGTTTAGGTTTTTTTTTGAAGAAGACAAGCTTGAGACTGGAGGTTTGAATGTAAAGACATCATCTATTCTTATCTTTCCGGCTGTTCTCAAAGATCCTAAATCATTATTTACTGTATGAAGAGTTTTGATGTCGCCTGTGGATAAACACAAGATTCGCAAAGCATCAAATGGATGAAAAAAATAAATAAAAACAACAATAATGCACTTTTTTTTATTGCTCAAAGTTAAATGAAGGAATTGATACCCTGACACGTCTGTTTTGGCTACATTGGAGAACATTAGTAGAGATACAGGCATGAAGTATGGGCTCATTATTAGGACACAGAGACCTACAGTTCCACCAAATGTACAATCCAGGGACCAGGGCTTCTCAAAGTTTTCATGAATGAGGACAAATGAGGGCAACAAAGGATTCAAAAACTTCACTGTTTGTAATCTCTCTGCTTAGAGGATGATGCTTGTATTTCTGAGTGACGGCTGGAGCCTGCTTGTCCAAGAAAATGCTTCCTTACTGTTGTTCAGAAATGCAGTTCCTCTAATGGCCACTTGAGGCTGGCTACAAAAGTGGGTCAATCCTCACATACTTCACTGAACAAGTAAGGCTAGTCGGAACAAACATATTACATGTTAGATTTTAGCCTCTGTGGATCGTTTCATCCTTCCTTTTGGCTAATGGACGCTTTTTTGTCAGTTTGCTGCTGTGCTTTGGATCATTATCCTATTACATGACATAATTTGGCCAACATTTAGCTGTTGGACAGATGTCTCACATTTGACTGTAGAATACTTTGGTATACAGAGGAGTTCATGGTCGGTCAGCTTAATGACTGCAAGATACTCTGAGGCTGCGAAACAAGCCCAAATCATGACCCCTCCACCACTGTGCTGACAGCTGGTATGAGGTCTTTTTGTTGATATGGCACATTTATGAAGTCCTGTGATATGTTGAGATGTAACTTTGCAAGCCTAAGCTGAACAGCCAAGTTCTTTTTTTAGAGATAAGAGGTTTTTCCTGTTCAACTCTCCAAACAGGCCACACTTGTTCAGTCTTTTTTCTCATTTTACTGTCAGAAACATTTCTTCGGTTTTTTGCACTTTCTCCAAGTTTTGCATGATCTGACCTTGGGCTTAATTTGCTGGGAGGTCTGTTAGTAGGAATATTGTGCCATTGAGTTAACACACAGCAGAATTTATGCACTTTCAGAGGTGCTCACATTTGCAGATGAGAAAATAAAGTGAATTTTCTTAGCACCTGGCTGTTGCTTAACTTCTTGATTTCTATGGAACCAGTGGCAGTGAACTTTCTTTCTTCTTCAACACTACATGTATGATTTATGACCGTGATAAAAACTGTGAATGAATTAAATGTACAGCAGAGGATTCTTGCCAATTACCAGGGACCGCCACTGGCCTGCAGGCCACACTTTGAGAACCGTGGCTTTGGCCTAACTTTCAGTCTTTATGCTAAGTTTGTTGGTTGTTAAAAGTAGCTTCATATTCAGAGAAGTGACATGACAGTGGTATCAATTTTCTTATTTAACTCTTGGAAAGAGCATAATAATGAGAGGGGGGTCAATATTCCCATTATAGCACAAAATAAAAAATGCTAGTGACAGGCACTTGACCTTTATGTTGAAAGGCCAAATGCTAAAATGGCCACACCTCCATGGCGAGTGGGTAGGCAGTGAACCAGTGGAGGAAGCAGAGTGTGAGGGTGATTACTTCCATTTTACAGCCTAACAACACTGTAAAACCTGATGCTGCTGTGGCCGATTATACTATTTGTAATCACCATTTCTGTGCAGCTCAAGGTCCAATCATGACCTCCTGCACAGCAGCAAGTGGAGCATCAAATACAAAGACTGAAAACACCCCCAATAGACCTCAAACACATTCCAACATCTAGACAGGATATGCCCTAAATGGCACTCCCTTCCTAAAAAACAGTCGTCTGCCTCTTCTTTTTCTTTTGTTAAGGAGCTCTCACAAACTATAAACTAACTATTCCATGCAAAGTGAAAGAACATCTGCGTGGATGTCCTAGCCATGCACAAAACTAAACTGAAAGCAAACATTTGTTGGAGCAAGTTTTCTTCTTACCTGTGTCTTTCTGTACTCGATCAGCTGTGACAGGCCAAACGCTGTGGCAACCGCCCCACCACCTACAAGGGCCGTCCGTTTCAGAGCCCTCCTGAACGCCATCGGCCCTGCAGTGAAGGTACAGGGCAGGACAGAGACAGAGAGAGAGTAGAGACGCCCGGGTTAGCAGGCTTTTGACATGCCAGGCATGCCAGTCTGTGAGGTAGTATGTAGATAAAGGGAAGGTGGGAGGGTCCAAAAGCTGCAAGTCAGGATGAAGGAGACAAGTTTATTCGCCATGTGACATTTAAAGTATCGGAAAAAACAACTGGCAAAATTATCAATAAGGAAAATACTGTTAGCTAAACCTCCTGAAAAATCATTATGTTTATCCAGCAGAGCAGGATTAAATGGTATTGTATAGTGCTTTACTTGGTCCCTAAGGTCATTCACACACTGGTGATGGCAAGCTACATTGTAGCCACAGCCACCCTGGGGCGGACTGACAGAGGCGAG